GTGACACACTGGACAGGCGCTGTTATTATGAATAGTGCACACTCTTGACACTTGCATAGCTGGCAGACTTTTGGACAGATGCACATGTGAGGGAAAGAGGTTTCGTGAAAGCCTGAACGAGGGGCCATCTAACCTAGTCTATTAACTTGGAAAGACTTTAAGAGGCCCTCACCTTTGAGCTTCGTCTTGGGGGAATTAGTAGATTTTCAAGTATAAAAGAAGACCATCTTGGAAGGAGTAATAAACACACATGCAAAGAGTTAAAAAACATGGTCTGTACCTACCATGTGAAGTAATTGTGAGCGATAGGCTTGGGATGACTGTGGAGAAGGCAAGGAGATAGACTGACCCTAAATTGTAATAGGTTGAAGATAATCAGCAGCTAAATTCTGATTTAATAAGTTACTCTTTTAAGCAATGAACAAAAGCACCTTCTGAAAACTATAAGTAAATTATAAAGTATATATTGAACACACTGCTATCTAGTCAATTCTGACTCATAGTGACTATAGCACAGAGTAAAAGTGACCAGCGGATTTTCAAAGCTCCAATCTTTGTGGAAGCAGACTGTTACATCTTTGTCCCTCGGAGCCACTGGTGGTTTTGAACTATCTGGTTAACAGCCAAGTGCTAAACCACTGACCACCAGGGCGACTTACAAACCAAATACCTGATGAGAAAGTAAATGGGAAAAGAATGATAGAAACATGGCATTTTGTACATCCTGTTAAATAAGGCACCCTGGCTTCAGTTTATTAACCAACTCGTGAACGACTACCAACAACGTGAACAGGCTAATGAGAGTTGACTCAAATGGCTGACAACCTGATCAATTTTAACATTGTTACCCCAAAAAATCAGAACCATAACCAGATACAAGAGCAAGGTGAGGCTTATTATTCTCATAAAGAATGGCCGTTTTGGAAACCCACTGGGGCAGTTCTACATTGACTTGTAGACAGTGGGTTTGTTTTTTAGATTTTTAGCTAGATACAACAGATGATACTCAGCACTACCAATGAAAGATTTTTGTTGAAAAACCTCATCCGGATTTGATCAAGTCAGTTTACAGAAAAGAGACTCTGAATATGTTATTGACATAGGTAATGCAAGCAGTTAAATCCAGAAAATGGGAAATTCTGGGCAACAACCACTTGATTACCCCTCCGCATATCTAAACTGTAAGGAAAAGGTAGGGAAACTACTATAGAGTAACAGAGCTTTAAGGACATACCAACCAAATTCAGTGTATCAATAAACCAGCCATTGAAAAGACCTTTGGGGAGAATAAGAAATTTGAATGTTCTTTCATGTTAAAAATACTACCATGGAATTTTTATTTTGAGGGATATATGATAACAGCTATGTAATTTTTTTAAGATGGGTCAAATTTCTGTTGAGCTCAATGGGATTTGTAGACATTACTTTTTTATTAAGAGATTTAATATGATTCTATCTTGCTTTGCCCTTAGAATAGTTCTTTCAGTATTTCCTGGCTTCCTTTGAAAGGCCTTGCAAGTATTTTTAAATCACCTTTGTCTATGCTTGGAATGGTGAAGACCTGCTGTTGTGATAAGCAGGACTACAGCCTGTATACATCAAGCAGCAGTTATACCATTTTCCTCTGCATTTTGGCGAAAGTTGTTAAGAAAGCAATGAAGAACAATGGCCCTCATCCTTGGAAGCAAGTCAAAGGAAGGTGTGCTTTATCTTTTTTGTGTGATAATAAATGTACCCTGTTGTCTCTGGGAAGGCGTTACTGTTTGTATTTTTTATGTTGACTTCTGCTTAGAGTGTTTGTGATTTACACTTTTAAAATGTATTCCTGAATGTAGGACAGCAAACCAGAGCTTTTTGATCCTGCTAGTTTGTTGTGGTAAACATTAAATCTAATAGCTATCACTTGTTGAAAGTTTTCATTATTTGCCTAGTTACTGCTGAAGATTGAAATTCCATATATTTAAAAGAATATTAGGGAATCATTCATTTTGGGGGTCAAAATTTGGGTAATATTATGTAATCTGTTGTATGTCATTTTATTAAATAAAGAAATAAGAACATACCTAAAATGTGGAATGAAAAGTTATCGATTCAATTTTATATTCTTTGAGTGTAGTACTCCCACAGTCATTGTTTCCATGAGTGAAAACTGATCAGAGTAGAAGAGACCCAGATAATTAACTCAGAGGTTCTAATTTGAGGCTTATGCTTTGTTTTCATTTTGAGAGTGGTGTAAATAAGCCTGTGGTACAGGAGCTTACCTCCGCATTGCCTCATGGGCTGTGCGTCTGAAGTGCCGTCCTGTGTCTGTTCCTTTGGCTATTAGCCACTTCTCAAGAGCTCTGCAGGACGCCGCCATCTACCACTGCTCCAGCTCACATGGCAGGAGGGCTGGGGCAGAATATTTCTTGTTCTATTAGACCCTCACAAGGAGTAATTATTGCAAAGTTAGGGCGATGCAGTTTGGGTTTTTTATAGACTATATACATTTTTAATGATAACCTTTCAGTTAAACTTTAGTAATGAAATATTAGGGTATTTTTTTCCTTCCTACCACTTCGTTGTTGTTTTGTTTTAAATTCTTAATGCATTCTATGGAAGACATAACAATATTCATAGAACTTTATTACTAAAAGAAATCACTGGAATGCATTCAACAGCAAGTCTTACCTATTAGATAATTCTTTTCATTTGTATTATAATGGGCGTGGATATAAAGATAATTAAATAGATCTTTACTTTCAGGAGCCTATCAGCTCAAGTAGCTTTTTTATAAACGAGGGTTTAATCCTTCATGAACATTAATCATTTCTGTCCCCTATCCATTTTAGAAGTTACAAAATGTAACAACCCATAAATTGTAAATCAAGAGGAAGTATTTTTTTCTCCCTAAGGCCTTAATTGATGTAATAATACTGTATCAACTATTCAATTATACAGAATAGTATTGACAAGACATTTCTTAATGGCTTGCTTATCTTGGACATTTGAACACTAACAATTCTTCTTTATAAAAAGTCAAAATAATTCTATTAGCCTCTTTGAATTCATTGACTTATGATATACGTAAAGCAAAAACACATCTTTTGGTGGTGAGGAGAGAAAAGAGTTTAAGAAAACTTGTTTTATGAAATTATTTTAAGACTTTTATAAAGAATATCCAATGTTGCCTATTGTTTTTTGCCAATAAAAGTAAGTTTAAAAATTCAAATAAAAAGAAACAGCATATGTGAAAAAGACATTCCCACTGTCTTTGGGGAAAGCCACTAAATCCTTTCAATTCCTTACAGGTTTGCTGCATTGTTGAGAAATTTGAAGGTAGGGTTAGTTTGTGAATTTGTTATCTAAGAAAATGTGACATAGCAGCATCAAAATGAAAACTTTGCTAAAAACATCAAGTGATGATGCTTGTAAATATTGAGGGACATCTTTTTTAAAAGATATATTTATGTGAGTGAAGCAATTGTGTTAAAGCAATTCTTTTAAAATGTTTTACAGAATATATTCTAAATTCCATCAAAAAAGAATGGAAGAACTAACAGAAGTTGGTCTACAAAACTTTTTCAGCCTTTTTCTGTTGTTAGCAGCTGTTGCAGAGGTGGAAGACGTAGCAAGTCATGTGTTAGGGCTCCTGAACTTCCTCAGACCTGCCTCCGTAACTTCTTCTCAAAGGGCCCTCATCTGGAAAGGTCAGATGGCCTTCCTCTTGATGTATGTTCAGAAAGATCTGGACATTGGTGTCTTGGCTGAGAAATTTTCAGGTGCTTTCCGAGAGAAAGCGAAGGAGTTCTTAGTATCTAAGAATGATGAAGTGGGGCAGAAACATACTCTCTGGACACTGCTTTCCATCTACATTGATGGCATCCAAGAAGTGTTTGAGACCAGCCGTTGCTTGCATCCTTCCCATGAAAAACTGCTAAATGATGGATTTAGTATGCTTCTGCCAGCTTGTCGAGAATCCGAGCTTAGGACACTACTGAGCTTTCTACAAGCTGTTCTGGCCAGAGTCAGGTATGTTTTCCCGTCATGTGTTAACTTATTGATCTGGTTTATATCACCAAGTATGTTGATTTTTGCATTATGCGGGCATGTTTCTGAAATGTTCCTGAAGTGAGTTTTATTGGTACATTGCTATAAATCAGTAGTTCTCAAACAGTTCTTCAAAAAAAGCTTATGCAAACACAGAGGGAAAACTGAACTCAGAGCAGTCCTGGTATAACCCTTGAGCACCTCTTCTTCCTTTCTTCGTTTCCTGTCCTTGTGTTTGTTGTTTGCTTGCTGAGCCAGTTCTGCCTCATGGCTATGCCAAGTGTGCAGAGTAGAAGAGCATTCCATAGGAATTCCGTAGGACTTTTATGCCCTCTCCGAAGAAGGCTTTACTCCCAAGACTCCTTTTGGTAGGTTTGAACTGCCAACCTTGGAGTTAGTAGTTCAGTACTTAACCATTTGTGCTGCTCAGGACTCCATCTTCCTGTATAATTCTTCTATAAGAGCATTCCATTATTTTCCTGATATTCTAAATAAGAATGTGAACTTAGATCTGAGGTGGCTTTCACTGAAATCTATGATTATATGCCTGAAAGGAAAATGTGTTTAACTTAATGAGGGTAGTGGAGAGCTGCTTTAAACATTTTGTTTCAAAGTTGTGACCCCAACTACATGAAATACTTTTAGTTTAAAGGTGTATCCCAAAATTTAATTCGATTGTTTTAATACCAATCACCTACACAAAGCTTACTGTTTTCATAGCCACTTAATTATGCTCATGTAGAGATAGACACTTGAACCCAGAGTTAATGAAAAGTAAAAGTAATGGTTATGACATTTATTGCCTTTAACTTCCTTTTCACCTTTTAGTTCTGTCGTGAGGTACATATTCTAATAAGTTAGACACTGTCACCGAGGGGTTATGTAAAGACAGTGTAGTGATTTTATTTGAAATCATGTTTTACTTAAAAGACCACTTCTCTCCTTCCCAATATCATATTATAAAAGTGGCATCTGTTTTTCTGAGGTGTTATATTGGCAAGATTTCCACAATTTTATTGATTGCTCATTTGCTTTATGTTAGGCTGTTTTCATACTAATTTATCCAAGGTTTTCATTTGTTATTAGGCTTTATATTACTGTCTTTATTTGGATTTAGGTTGGGAAAATGGGACATATTAAGAAACACCCACAAGAAAACACTGCTATGGAGTCAATTCCAACGAACAGTGGCTCTATAGGGCCGAGTAGAACTGCCCCTGTGGGTTTCGGAGACTGTAAATCTTTACGGGAAGAGAAAGCCTCATCTTTCTCCCATGGGCTTAAACTGCTGACCTTGTGGTTAGTGACCCGACACAGAAACCACTCCTCCACCAGGGCTCCGCCTGGGCAACATAGATTAATGATGTCTATGCCTGGCTTCTTCTCTGACAAGGGAAAGATGGAATTATTTTACCTTAGCAATCTCATTGGTTTTCAAATTCCTCTGGGAATAAGTTATCAGTCTTTGCATAAATGTGTGCATGTAGGATGTGGTACTAAGTATTATAACTATATGACAGAAATTACAGGAAGGGGGAGGACTAGGTTTACTGATTAAAGGGAGAAGGAAGCCCAGTTAAGGAATATGCCCTCTGCTTACTTAAGATATGGCTAGGTTCCAAACACTAAATTGCTATATGAAAATTGGTGTTCTGCAAAATGTAGGATGACCATATCAGATCACAAAACAGAAGATGATGACATCATTACATTCAGCCCATTAGGTCTCAACATAATTGCCAAACCACATCATTATGTAACCGCCAAACCACTGAGAATTTTGCCCCAGCCACCCTGACATGCCCTAACCATCACCGCCAGCATTATTCTAACCTTGCACCTCAATCTTCATTACTGCCAGCGGTAGGTCTTTAATGTCCAAAATCATCAGATAGTAGAGTGTTTACTCTTTTCATAAATCCAAAAGGTTAGGTTGTTAGGTAATGAAATAGTCTATTGGTGACTTTCATATCCCACTGTGCTAACTGGAGCTGGCTTACCAGAGCATTCTTTTTTTTTTTTGCTGATTAAGTAGCATGATGAAATTTCCTGAGTTACAAAATATGTTCCTGTGTCTTTAAGAATTTTCAGGTGTGTCAGGACAGCTGCATATGGTTCTTTAGTCTTCCATTAGTGCAGGAAGGAGCCCCGGTGATGCATTCATTAAAGTGCTTGGCTACTCACCAAAAGGATGAGTAGTTAGAACCCACCAGCTGCTCACCAGCAGACAGTTGTAGCAATCTGCTTCCTAAAGCTATAGCATTGGGAACCTTAGAAATCAGTTCTGCTCTGTACTACTGCTGAGCCACTATTAGTATAAGAATTGACTGACAGTGAGTTTCCTTTGTTTAGTGTCAGAAAAGGCTAAAGTCTTTGCTGTGACATAAAAAGGTTTACTTGCAGCAAGTGAAGGTGATAGTGAATTTGTTGTGAGCTCTTTCAAAGCTTCAAAGTGATAACAAATTTACTTACCATTAAAGGGCCAATTAGAGTTCTTTGATAAAAGGAGCAGGCAGTGACTGCTGGTATTGACTTGGTAATCTGGTAATGTTAACCAAATAACTTGGTGTTTAAAACTTCCAGAGTCAAGTAGTTTTAGCAGTCATCTTTAACGTTTCACATTACCTTTCTGGAATCACAGTTCTAGTTCTCACTGGCTTTTTTATTTGAGGTTAATATAAAAATGGCAGTCTTTCATTTGTGGGGTTAGATGTAGCCAAAAGCTTTCTTTAATTATATCCATTTATGCTACTATAGTTAAGGGTTCGTCAGCATTTCCATTATAAACCTCCATTTTCACAGTTTTATAACACAGCTATGAAAAATAGCTTGGGGCAAAAACTTGACATAGAAGGTCTCTTGAGATTCGCCCTCCTCCCCATCCCCCTTTTGCATTTTACTGAAGTAAGGGTGAATGATTTCAAAATGCCTTTTGGCATCTGCAAATATCATTTGTAGTTTAAAGAGAAACAGTAAATTTTCAGGCTTTGTACCTGTTTGTTCTACCACTTAAGAGAGGTGAAGACTTATGAATTTAAGCCAAATGGATATTGATCAACTGACATCGTATTTTGTATTAAGTGAGAGATCTTAGTTTTAAAGAAGTCTGTAGGCCATGAGAATTTGCGTAAATGTTCAAAGTTGAGAATAAGAAATATATCAAAAGGGATGATTAACCTTTTTTGGAGACATTTTGTCATAAAATACAACTCCTTAAAAGACAAAGACTTTCCCCCCTCTGGCTTCAAAATATATTTTGGAAAAATGCATAGAGCTTTAAACCAGGCTTTTTTACATGCCAAGAGACTAGCACAGCAGTTCTCAACCTGTGGGTCACGACCCCTTTGGGGATCAAACGACCCTTTCACAGGGGTCGCCTAAGACCATCGGAAAAATACATATTTCAGATGGTCTTAGGAACCGAGACACAGTTCTGTCTCTAGGCGGGTCCGCCCACATGCAGATATGTCCACATACGAGTACCCAGGGTGAAGACTGTTACCCATGCTACACCATGCTTCCAGACAAATTTTCATTTATTTGTCATTAGAAATAAATATTTCACAATAGCAATGAAAATACATCAGATATTTACATGATGACTCATAACAGAAGCAAAATTACAGTTATGAAGTAGCAATGAAAATGATTTTATGGAACGTCACTTCCTCTCAAGGCCAGCGTCGGGCCGGGTAGCATCCACGCGGGTTCAACATGCGTATAGAGAAGTGTTATTTCTGCTTCGGGCCCATCTACCCCGGCCATGGCATGATGTTCGTGCGCAACAACTGCAAGGTGTTCCGATTTTGTAAATCCAAGTGTCATAAAAACTTTAAGAAGAAGCGAAACCCTCGCAAGGTCAGGTGGACCAAGGCCTTCCAGAAAGCCGCTGGTAAAGAGCTTACAGTGGATAATTCATTTGAATTTGAAAAGCGTAGAAATGAACCTGTTAAGTACCAGCGAGAACTATGGAATAAAACTGTTGATGCAATGAAGAAGGTTGAAGAGATCAAGCAGAAACGCCAGGCCACATTCATAATGAACAGGTTAAAGAAAAACAAAGAGCTACAGAAAGTTCAGGACATCAAAGAAGTTAAGCAAAACATCCACCTTATCCGGGTACCTCTTGCAGGCAAAGGAAAGCAGCTGGAAGACAAGATGGTACAGAAATTACAAGAGGATGTGGATATGGAAGATGTTTCTTAAAAATCTTGCTGCCTGGAACTCTTGCTACTCTACCTGTGCATTTGAAAACTTTGAAGACTTGGAACTTCTCATCGATTGCTTTGTTTTGCATACAGTCACTCAGATAAAAGGTGATTAAAAATACATCTACATTGCTGTCTCTTAAGTCATCATATATCATAGATGTTCAATTGCATCATAGTGTTCAATCTTCACTTACGTAAATGATGAAGACTCTTCGTTAGTAGAGAAGTGAATTGTGAATACAAAAGGTCTGTGTTTGCATGATGACAAACATTCATGGCTAATGACGTACAATAAAATTGTTCTTTGCAGTGAAAAAAAAAGAAAATGATTTTATGGTTGGGGGTCACCACAACCTGAGGAGCTGTATGAAAGGGTCGTGGCATGAAGAAGGTTGAGAACCACTGCACTAGCAGAAGTAGCCATGGTGATGTAGTGGATTGCTTAACACAAGGTCAGCTATATGAAACCACCAGCAGCTCCTAGTGAGAAACATGAGGCTTTCTGCTCCTGCAGAAGCCCTGGTGACATAGTGGTTATGCTTTCAGCTGCTAACTGCAAGGTGAGCAGTTTGAAACCATCAACTGCTTCATGAGAGAAAGGCAAGGCTGGCTACTACTGTAAATAGTAGTTAGTCTCAGAAACCTACCGGGACAGTTCTGTGTCCTATAGGGTCGCTATGGATCAGAATCACCCTGATAGCAATGAGTTTGGTGTGAGATTTTTTTCTGCTGTTGTAAAAGATTGACACTTTGGAAGCCTGCAGAGGCCGT